AATCGAATGCTTCAGTTGGTGTTTACGAAGTTGTCTAGCTAAGATTCATGTAGCTTTTGGGCCTGATTTGTAAAATGTTTGTTTGGAGAATCGCAGTTTTTCCTCAAGCTCCTTGAAGTATCATGTAGAGAGAGAGAGAGCGATGGATTTAGCTCAGGGGTGCTCTCTTACATTTTATAATATCTGGACTAGTTCAAGTACCTGATATTTAAACGGATTCTTTCATTTTTCTGGACTAAGTGATCTTGTGCTTAGAAGTACAGTGACGTGAGATGGTCTAAAAACCAGTGACATGAGACGTTAATTTTCTTTGACCCATCAAAATGAATGTGGTCATTTATTAACAGAATCAAAATTTAACATTGAACATTGTACACTTGATTATTCTGATTGAACGCAATAACACAGCTTAATTAATGAGCTTTACAATGAGAAATCATACGGCCATGATTTCTCACTTGCAACTAAAATACAACAGACATATCTGAAAATATCTGGATTAATTACTGGCAAGATAGAAGAGTTTTAAAGATGGGAAATTAAGGAGTTTAAATGGAGAGGAAAAAGATGGATGAGGATGTATGTCTGTAGACAGAACAACACGTTCCTTTCAAGCGCAGTTCGCCTGCGGTACACTGGTAGTGAAGCTCATGACGACTCTTAACCTTTGGCGGAGGATGAATCCGCGGTGGTCAAGAGGTCCCTGGTACGCTACCTTTCAGCGTCTTCTCAGGGCGGCTGCGACTCGGCAGAAATCGTGAGAACTCGTTCCACAGAACAAACCTCCTCAGAAGTTATAAAGTTTTCACCGGGTGGAGCACAGCGAGGCATCGTGGCTCCTACAGGAACTCCAGCAGAACTTCATCAGTACCAGAAGAACTTAACGGGACTCTGAGAAGACTCAGAGGAACTCAGAACTTCTGTTCTCCTGTGCTCCCAGAACTCTTCTGTTCAAGTGTAGAACTCCGAACTGGCTGGAACTAGGAAGTGTCGACTTTTAAAGAGTTCCGTTTCCGATCCCATTTGGGAAGTCCTGATTGGTTGAAAGAACCAACAGGGGTGTGGTTTTAGTGACGTAAGACAAGTCAGAAAAACAGCGGAGATGTTTAAGAACAGACAGAGAAATGTTTTGGAGCAGACAGAGAAATGTTTTGGCGAAGTGGGAGGAAACAGGTGCCACCAGTTTCTTATTTCTGTCTGATAGGTTTAAAAACATGACAGTTCGTTCTATAACTTCTTTCTGACTTTTGACCGACATCACTCCTTTCTCATTTCAGAGAGATCAAAAAATGCATAATTACTTTGTAACAGACATCTAACTTGATTTCTACTTTGAATGAGGATTAAAAAATCATTAATACTGTTTCACAGTTGATTTAAAATGAGTAGTTCACTTCAACATTTAAAATGGTTTGAACTAAACACACTTTTGGATTATCAAGACTGTAAAAATAGTAATAAAAAAGAGAGTGTTCTTTCAATTGATTAGTGCAGGATACAATTAAAAAGTCTCTGGATGAGCTTAATTTGTATTTCTGGATTCAAATCAATGAAATAACAGTTTCTGTCCCATGAAGGTCTTCAGGTTCAGGTTTTGACCTGAGGCTTAGTTCACTACAATCATATCGTTTATATTGTTTTTAGTTTTCATTATTTGGTCTGATAATTCTCCATTGTTAGTCATTTGTTGTTATAATTCTAATTCCCTCAATGTGTTTTCCAATTCCTCATATTTTAGCCGTTTTACTTTTTTAAGATAAGCAGTTTTAGAAATTAGTCTCCCTCTCATTACTGCCTTGACCGTGTCCCAGACTAAGGTGGGATTTACCTGCCCATCATTATTGTCTTTTACACATTCCATTATTTCTTTTCTAATCTCCTTTGTTGTGGCTTCATTATTAAGGATACCTATATTTAAGCGCCATAATGTTGACCTAGGCCTATTAGACAAGCCAATGGACAAATAGATAATGTTATGGTCTGAAATATCAGATGTTCCAATTAAGCATTCCTTTACTTTAGATCTATTGATGATGTTCATCAGAAACAGGTCGATCCTGGAGTGGACTTCGTGTGTAGAAGAGTAATGAGTAAATTATTTTTCTTTAATATGGAGATCCCTCCAGACATCAAACATGCCCATCTCCCTGATCAGGATATTTAGATCTTTTGACCTACCCGTTTTTTGTTTCTTATTGCTTGTTGTATCTAGAGCATAGTTAGGGATTGTGTTCCAATCTCCAGCGCAAACCAGAACTCCTTCACTAAATGAGACAATGGTGTCAAATAACGTTTTTAAGAAAGATCTGTCACTCTCTGGTGGTACATATATATTAACAATTGTGACAACAA